CGAAATCAGGGTTGTAATTCAAGAGTACATGTATAGCCTGGTGCCTCCTTATGCACTTTAAGGAATGCATTAAACCCCCACATTTATAGTTTTTTTTATTTTTAACTTTTCAGAAGTCTTTCTAAACCAGGCACAATTTTAAGCTGGGATCTGTGCAATAAAAGCAAATTCCAATTTTCAAAGTAGTTAGTCGGTGCAATTTGTCTTCGGAATGAGCAACAATAAATGGATCCTGACAAGAACCACATTTGTCCGCAGGTTTGTTGACCTATATTTCTTAGTACTCTTGGCAGGGAAAATGAATTCAAAAGCTGCTTTCAAGCTAAAGCTCTTACAAGTTGCATTTGACTTTTTGATTGGTATCAATCCAGAACCGATTTCTGAGAGTAGTCCTCATTCAGGTGTGCACTCTCAAATGGGAGTAAGGAAAAAACACTTATGTTGAGCACGCCTGATACTGTGTCACTTCTGTAGTACACGTCTGATAGCCTCTCCCATGGCAGGTGTGTCCAACACCATGCCACTCCCACAGTGGGTGTGTCCAATGTAGCCCCTCCTATTGTGGGTGTGCCTGATACACAGCCACTCCCACAGTAAGCATGTCTGAAAGTGTCATTCCCACCTGTCTGTTCCTCATCAACTAATTTCAGCAAGAGCTGGTTAATCAGAAATACCTCAACACCCTTGACGTTGGGCATCTAGGAAAGACTAAAGAAACAAGAAGACCAATTAAGTCATCAATTAAAACCGAGTTCAGCTGGATTTGAGTTCAGCGCTGGGATAGATACGGTGTTCCTACAGGAAAGGCGCTGGGATAGAAAAGGTGTCCCTCCAGGAAATGCGTTGGGATAGAAGGCATTATGAGAGATAAGACTCACTAATTAAGAAACATGTCTAAGTTCTAGAAACTGAAAGGGTAAAATACTAGTGGCATGGGATCTTAACAGATGAGCTATTCCTCTTGGTCTTCTTGAAAGGGCAGTTTACAGGGCTGTAAGAGCTTTAGTCTGGCACAATGGGCACACAGCAGTCACTCCCAATAGGCTGTTTGCTTCTGTACACTAGAGCCATGCTTGTCTTTGTATCTCAGTATGCCATCTTTCAATTTAAACATTTCCCTCACTGCATGAACCATTTCATGCACTTAGTACAAAAATGTTGAAACACACCATAAAAACAAACAAATGCAAAAGAGATTTAATTTAGATTAGAGCCAAGAGGGTAATTTTTGGTTTTACAAGTAAT